GAGTTGTTCTTGTTAGGGATTTTAGAAAGGAGCAAATTCAGCAAAATCCTCATTAGGAACAAATCTTTCGATTAGCCTGGCAACACTGCTGCGAGACATCGCGTCATTCGCAGGCTGGTTCACTGGGTTCACATTCGTCGTAGGTCGATCATGATTGGAGCATGCGCTGACACACTTCCGTTCAGCTATTCCGGTTCCCTCTTCTCGCGATCTGTGGGGATGATTGTCATTCATGATTAGTCGCAACGTTCTTGACCGCGGCGAGGTTTACCTATCGCGCTCCCAAGTTTCCACGTACGGTGTTCTACGCTTATATCTCGTCGAGAACAGTTAAGTGTTTAATCGTGCACGCTTTCCTCGTCGCTCAGCGTGGTACTCAGCTCCCTTCGGATTGATCGATCGCGGAGTGAAATTCGCCGCACGCGAAGGACCCATTTGGCGCTTTTTCCACGAGTGCGCGATGTCATTCGTCTCGTCTCTCTCCTGATAGTCCTGATATCCGACCCAGCCGTCTTCACAATAATGGGATCTCTGCCGTCCTAATATGCGGTAGGTACATCGACCAAGGTTTTGTAGGAATGGGAGAGAAAAAGAAAGAGATAGAGAAAAAATGTGTGTTAACATGCGCGGCAACTAATATCCGCCGTCCACGAAACCGCGTGGCAATCGATCGCGGTAAAGTTGGCTTCGAATTGTCCGAGGTCCGCGCGATTGCGGCAGATTGCAGCCGTTTTCCTGGAAGGTGGAAAAAAGAACAAACGGAGAGGACGGCATAAGTGAAAAAGAAAAGAAACGAGCGCTTAGACGTAGCGCAAGCTGCTCCTTCGCGGCGGACATGTCGACGTAATGGCGTCACGGCTGTCTTTTGACCGCAGATAAATGCATTCCGCTTTCTTGATTTCAGTTCCGCCGCAACGGCGGATTCCAGCGACGCCTTTCGATATCGTTCCCCGTACGGAATTACACGTGATCGTACTTCATTATAACATTTACAACGGTGTCATCCTTGATACGTAACGCTTAATGGATATCCACGCGTATCTATCAATCTCAATCTGATATTTTCCAATAAGGTTCAGTATATTTCTCACATACTGTAATCAAGTTGAGGAGAAAAGAATAGATACCTTACATCTCTATCAGTTTTCACGAAAGTTCACTTTAACTGCAGATTTATGCAGGCAAATAGCTAATCTTACTCTTGTAGCAGACGAGTGCTTAAGCGACTTATCTATAGGTTAATCAGATGTGACTGATAAGATCGTCCTGTTTTCAAATCGATGGCCTTACAATGCTCCACATTTAATTTTACAGAGTTATTCAAGTATCACAAAACAGAACAGTCAACAAATTAATTTGTCCAATGGAAGTTGTGTCACATTATTGCAATTTTACAGCCAATATTCATAATTGGTTCTTATATTTTAGTTCGTCTTAAGTATAGTTTTAATACATATTTTTTTTAGAACTTCCACTGTTCATTTTTTTTCTCTTTTTTTTTCCTCCAAAATGAAGAGAAAAGAAGAGAAGATGAACCATACAAAAAGAGCAGCTAAAAAAAAGACAGACCTTTAAAATGTTTTTAACTAATCACAAGAGTTGTATTAGCATTTTAAGATATTAAGAGAGCTTTAATAAAATAAGCTTTAATAAATAAGTACTTCAGGTATGAAACAATTTTTATTATTCTATGAGAGAGCTTAGTACTGTCAGATTATTTTAATATATAGTATTTGCACAAAAGTACTAGAGAGATTAAATATGAAATTGAGATAATGTTATGCTCCGTAGATGATATAGTGATATTATATATTATATTAATTAATATTAAAATATTAAAATAACCGACTATGAATAAATTGCAGTTCAAAATTGCAGTTATAAGACATAGCTCATGATTTCATAATTTTTAATACTATATACTTGCACTATACTTGTCTGTTTCAGATGGTTGTCTTATAATATCAATTATAGTACTCAGTGATTCGTCAGCATCGTAGCATTAATGAATAGAAGACTTTGCATAAAGGCCTCTTCTACATTTTAACATCCAACTGCGAATTAGCAGTGGAAATGGCAGATGAGTGCAGCGAGGTCAAGTCGGCAGGACCATCCTCGCCAAGGAGTCCTCAGGGCAGCAGCAATGGTGGAAAGCCCAGTAGCCTGCACTCGCCTAGGCAACCAAGACGCGTGAAGCTAACTCAGCAACAGTTGGACAGCTTGACAAAGGACGAGCTAGCGGCCAAATGGCATGAACAGGACTTGTATGTGGAGTGTCTAGAAGCCCAGTCGGCAGCTCAGGAAGGTACTGAGATCACACGAGTGAGACCACCTCACTCACCACATATCTTAAGCGAATTAACGAATGCCAGGATACAACGATATTTTGTAAGAGACAAGACTCTCGTAGAGACGCTAAGCATAGGGTTCATTAGATCAGTGTTTAGGATGTTGTCATTAAGTTGTTTATTAGGCTTAAGGTAACGAGAAAGCTTTAGTAAATAAGTACACCAGGTATAAACATAGGAAACTATTTATTGCTCTATGAGAGAGCTTAATACACGTGCGATCAGATTATTTTAATGTATCTGCACAAAAGTACTAGAGAAATTAAATATGAAATTGAGATAATGTTGCGCTTCATATATAATATGGTGATTATATTTATATTAATTTTCAAAACTACATTTGTGATGTGTATAGTGCGGGTAATTAAAGATTCATATGTATCGTGAAATAAGGCGATAATTCTCAATGTAATTGCGAGCACGGGTGGAGTAACAGCCACATATATGATGTACAAAAAGGGATACATTTAGTCCAAATTTTCTTGTGAGCAATTATATTGTCAGCCATGAAAAAGCCATGATTAGCGAATAAAAGTGAAAATGGCTGAGCTAACAAGTGCTTATGTGTGTTAAGAAGCGTCAATAAGGTTTTTCTGCAAAAAAAAACCCATATCTGCCATCGATGTTGTGGAAGACACAGCATTGCTTAAAAATGTCATTTCACAAGTGCCCTGTGCAGTGTATCGCGTTTATCTTTGCAGTGTAATAATTATGCTGCCAAAAAAAAAAAAAATGCAGGAGAGTGTGTGCCGTGTGTGTAATTTGAAATATCGAGTTCTAGTTAACGAGGATGAAATGAAAAGCAGCGTTTATATGATGGCGCTGATTTTACGGCTCAGAGGAATAATAAGAGTGGATCCGTGTCACCATTTGGCCTACAAAATACTGCACCTGGGGTGCGTGAAATTTATATCTCGGTGAAGTACGCAATCACATTCGTCTCTCGTTATCAATTGGAACATAACTCAATCCCATCTGTCTCCCTTCCCTTGATCTACGTATCCTTAAATATTATCTTATCCTTAATTTTTTTCCAGTTAGAGATAATGCAATTAACTGTATTCTTAAATCAATTGTCCTACATATTCTTACTATGAATGCAACTTGTGCATGCATTTATACCTACATCATAATGTCCTGGTATCAAATACAAATTTCAAAAGTACATACCTGTGGGTTAAGCCCGGCCAGCGTCTCGTTACGCCAACATCTGTGTCTGCAACAAGTACATGCTTGATTCATACGGAAGAAAAGTAACATCCACTCTTGGTCTTGGAAGTACAGAGAATCACACAAATGGCACGTCGCAACGACTCCAAAAATCAAAGTATGCGCTAATTAACAATGTCAGTTGTCAGGCAGTCATAGTCACGTACTTATAAAAGTATATTGTTTATTTATGCGCACTTAGGTAAAAGCCATAAATATTAATTTTTCCAGTATGCTTACTTCCATCAAAAACTATCATATAACATATATATATATATA